CCCCGGTAGGGAGGCCCAGCCTCCTGCGAGCGGCTCGGAAGCTGCGGTTCCCGCAAGGTCGGTGCCCTGGCGGACGGGCTGAGGCCGAGGCGGTGGGAGCGGACAGCGGGAGGCCTCGCGGTCTGGCCAGCACCCCGGCCTAGTGAGTCCTGGGCCGCCCTTCCTTTCCGCCCGCGGCCGGAACGGAGTGTGGGGGTTCGCGGCGCGGTGCGGCGGGCTGGAGAGCAACGTTGAGCAGCGGCCGCCGAGGCGCAGGGGCAGTTCAGACTGGAAAGCAAGAAGCCTTAGGACTAGAGGGAGCCCCTGGCCTCACTGGCCTTTATTTTGCACAAGGTTTTAATGTGTTTTGTTCAACTACTCAGCGATTTCGAGGTAAAATAGTAATGCAAAACATTGTTACCTCATGTGCCAGTTTTTTTTTTTTTTTGAAAGTCAGTTTCACTCAGTAGCTCAGGATGGCCCGAAACTCAAGGCAACGCGCCTGCTTCAGCCTTCAGCTATGCTTACAGGCACATGTCACCACACCCTCTCGTTGTTGTGACTCTACAATGGGCTGAGTGCGTGCCTCCCTTTCAACATTATGTCCTAAAGTAAGACCAGGAAACTAGAAATGGGATTAATGCCCCTAGGAATGTCTAGTAGATATGTGTAATTTCTGAGACTCGCTTTATGGATCAGGCTGGCCTTGAACAACAGATCTGTCTGCTCCTGCCTCCCGAGTGCCCAGATATAAAGGACTGTGCCGCGGTTCTCTCTCTCTCTCTCTCTCTATATATATATATGTATGGACTGTATAGAATATATGCTCTCTACATAGAATATATATTCTATGTAGAGAAAAATATTCTACACATTCCACATATAGGGAGTATATATAGTATTTATATACTGTATATATTCTTTAAGTTGTACAGAATCTGATTTGTAAATTATGTTTCAAAATTTAAATTGTAAATTACAAGTTTTATGAATCATAAACACACACACACTATATATATATATATATTTAAACGGTCCAGGATCTGATTTGTAAATTGCAAGTTTCACAATGGTAGCCAGGCTTGGGTGCTGCATGCCTGGAACCCCAGGACCTGGGAGGTGGGAGCAGAGGGTTGAATTTGAGACCAGCCCAGGCTAAATGAGGCACCGTTTTCACTTAAACAAAACGAATCTACTTGAGAATTCAGTTACATACACACACGCTCTTTCACGCACTTCCTTTAAGCAAGTTACCAAATGCCACATTACTAATGAAAGCGCCCCGGAGTACCTTGGCAGTTTTATATAAAACAAAGTCTAGTGCTTCCTGACATCATCCCTCTAGTAAATGACTTTATTAATCTATTAAAACATGGAAGAGAAATTTATTATTTGGTTTTTCGAAACAAGGTTTCTCTATGTAGCCCTGACTGCCCTGTAACTCACTATGTAGACCAGGCAGGCTTTGCCCCCAGAAATCTGCTTGCCTCTGCCTCCCACACCAGACTGAGAAATTCTTCTTACAATGTTTTGTAAGTGTGAGGTGACAACCTAGACTGGCTAAATAACATTCATTTACCTCAGTGAACTCTGAAGCAAAATTTACCTTTTTTTTTTTAACCAGTGCAGCTTATATCTTACCTTACTTGCTGAATAAATGATAAACTCTTAATTACATTTGTGTTGTATAATGATGCTGTTAATTATATTGTAATTATATTTGTTTTTTTAGCAAAAAAGTTCTCTGACCTGCATCGTGATTGATTTTGGCTTGATGTGAAAAGATTAAGGTACCGAATTTCCTTTTTACTTGATAATGTTATTACTTTATGATTTTACATAAGAAACTAAACATTCCACTTCGTACCTGAGGCGGCAGAAGAATAAAGCCCCCAAATCCTGAAGTTTAAGCATAACTCTTGCTAGTGTCCGTGAGCCTACAGACATGATTTTCTTTCCATGTTAAAATCTTTGGTATGTTTTCAGAAGAATGGTGGAAACTTAGTTTTATCTTTTTATTTATTTTTAGTTTTTTGTTTTGAGACAGAAGTCCTTAACCCAGGCAAGTCTGTAACTCACTTTGTGGTGCAGGCTGGGATTGCCTGGTGAGTTATCATATCAGATAATTTCCTTTCTTGATAACCATAGCTTTCAAAATAACAAATAAAAATAAATGAGTGTTTAGTATTGCCTTTCCTGTGACTTAGTTACCTGAACCGAAGACAGTTTTTCAGTTGCGTGTTTCCAGTGTGTCAGTGTCTTCACAGTGACTCTCAGCTGTCTGTAACTCCAGCGCTTGGGCGGTTGAAGCAGAATTGCCTTGAATTTGAGGCTATCCTGGGCTACATAGTGAATTCCAGGATAGTCAGCAAGACACTGTCTTAAGAGGGGAGAAAGCAAACAAACAAAATAACAACTCTGAGAATCTAATAATGTCACTGTTTTTATTAAAAGCTTTTTAAAAGATGTTTTAATGTTACATGCAGTTTACATAAACTTTAAATACTATATATTGATAGGTTTTGAGGAATAAGAGTGAATGGGTATGTTTTTGATAACATGCCTTTGATCTCGGACACAGGCAGGCTTATTTCTGATTTGGAGAGAAACCTGGTGTACATAGTAAGAACCTGTCCTCCCCCAAAAGAATGAACTTCTACAAGTCCACCTCTTTAACCCCCGTTTAGTATGTAGGTGGAGTTTTCCTTTCACCCTAACGGAGGTATTATAACTCTTTACTTGACAGGAGGGACCAAGGCTCAGGGGCACAAATAAATTGTTGATGTTTATCTATCTAATAAGTTGGCTATGATTCAAAAAATTTGACTCCAAAATTCTGTAAATTTTGCCTATTCAAAAAATGTATATTTGCTTTGTTTAGAATTACATTTGACTGCTTTGTAAAATATATGAATAATGACCAAATTCCAGTTTAATTATTCATAGTAATTTCCATTTCAAAAAGAGACCAAAATTTAACTTGAAAGGAATTGTCGTCTTTGATGGCATCCACCAAAGACAAATTGGTTTCCTGGCCTGTGGCTGACAGGGCCTTCTCTTGCTGTTTTACAGTCTTGCCCGCTCTTCATCTAGAGTGCTCTTTTGTGCTTTCAAGTCCGTGAGGAAGATTTTAGAAGAATGTTAGAAGTAGACATAGCAAACACACGGGCAGAGATTGCTGGATGGATTATTTAGATAGAAAGGGTTGGATACATTTCTGTTCTGTGCATTTCATCTAACTGGAGTCATTCAGTATCTGATCCTTAGAGGTTTTCAAAGTGTATTAGTGTAGCCACTTCATTGCCTGACTGCTCCTCCTCTCTCTCCTTTTACGATCTGTCACTGTTCTATGCCCACAACCGTCACATTTTTAAAGTTCACTGGTTACAGATAGTCCTTTGTTTATTTTGAACAATTAGGAATAGTATTGTTCTGAACATTCTTATACAGGATTTTCTGTAGAAATAATTTCCGTTCTCTTGGGTGTTTACCTGGGAAGGGAATTGCTAGGTTGTGTGGTCAGTTTGTGTTTACCCTTTGGGGAAACTGTCAAATCATTTTCCATATTGACCGCACTGTTTTAATTTCCACTGTCCCTGTAAATGGATTCCAGTTTCTCTCCTCACCAGTGTTTCTGTCTTTTTGATTATAGCATCTAGTGGTGTTAAGTTGAACCATTGGTCTCTTTTTGGAGTCTAATAGTCAATAATGTGGAGATTGAGCATCTTGCTGTGTTCTTTTTGGGGGAGGAGTTCAAGACATATTTTCCTGTGTTACAGCCCTGGCTGTCCTAGGACAGTTCTGAAAAGTTATATGAGAATGTAACCATGAAATTTGGTAGAATAGCAGAACTGGTGCCTCAGTGGTGAGCATATTTCAAACCCTGAGCACTTTGGTATCAGGAAAAGAATAAAGGATAGAATAAAGATATAAAGAATAGAATAAAGTGTGTTTTGGTTTTATAGATTTGTACACACCTGACTTTAGTGTTTTTGTAGAATTACCTTTTAAAGCACCAGTCTGTGATTTCAAAATAAAATTTGTAGTAAACTATTAAAAAGTAAAGTCTATACTTTGAGTTTCCTTTAATTGTGTGTTTGTCCATCCATGTGCACTCTGCTTTAGCTTCCCAAGTGCTGAGATTGCAGTCTTGCACCCTCATTTTAAGTTTGTACTTGTTTAGGTAGCAAGTATTTTATCTTACTGTTTTGTGAGATCTGATCTCCCTGTGTAGTCCTTGCTGACCCTGAGTTAGATCTGTAGCATAGGCTAACCTCAAACCTGAGACCGTTTTGTTTCTGCCTACCAAGTATGGGATTGGAGGCATGTGCCACCTTGTTTGTCTTTAAATTCTTCTAAATGTTTTTGTGACAGGGTCCCAAGTAACTTGTGCTGACCTCAAATTCATACATAGCTTACTCTGGCCTGCACTCCTAACCCTCTGGTCTCTGCTTCTTAAGTCATGGGATTACTGGCATGCACCATCAACCATACTTATGCCTTTGATGTATTTTAAATGGAATTAAAAAAAACCCACTAAAATTGCATCTGCCCTGGTGCATATGTGGAGGTCAGAGGCCAACTTGCTGGTACTGGTTCTCTTCTTCGTCATGTGGATCCTGGGAATTGACCTCATAGCATGAGGACCTGCTGACTACTTGACAATTGGTTTTTAACTTGATTGTTAATGTAAACAAGCAATTCTTTACTGTATGTTAATGATCTCATATGGGTAAACCATACCGAACTGACTTCTTATTTTGGTAGATACTTTAGTATGAAGTTCTTAGAATTTCTCTATATAAGATCCTGTCATCTTCAGAAAGAGTTATGTTGGGGTTGGAGAGATGTCTTAGTGGTTAAGGTCACTTGCTACCCTTCCAGAGGGTCCTGGTTCAATTCTCAGCATGACACCCACTTGGTGGTTCATAACTTTCTGTAACTCTAGCCCTAAGGGATCTACTGCCCTCTTTGGTCAATCACTGGCATTGCACACATATGGTGCACAGACATATATGCAGGCAGAACATACACATAAAATAAAAATAAATATCTTAAGAGAAGTTAGAAATTTATTTTAAAAAGCTCTATTTTATTTCAACTTGATATCCTCACCTTAGTTCATAATTTATTTTATATAGACACAAATGAACATAAGTTTTAGATGTAAGGATTTCTGTTCTCCACATAAGTACACTAAACATTTTATTTTCTAATTATTAAAATGATAATAATACACACAGTCTAGCAGACATTGACTATTATTTAATGCATGGTGAGAAATCTTAAGGCTGATTATACCCCTGCCCCTAGAAATCTTAATCATAGTAATTATAGCTAAACTTTAATAAGTCATTGTATTCAATGATTGAATGATGTATTCAGCAATCTGCTATATATTCTCTTTTCCTTGTCATTGCTCTTTTGCCTTCCCTCCTGAAGGAAAAAATGAAATAAAAGGAGGACATGACTACTCCTAAAGCATGCAGGTTTTTATTGTAGATATAGGAGAGAAAGCAGACAACGGGAAGAGTTACACTGAGCATGGCCAGCAGACTAAACTGGACCATGAGAGGAGAGATGAGGGGGTGGCAAGAGAGGAGCCACCAACCAAGAAAGGTGGCCCAGGCTAAGAGGCCATGAGACTAGCATAGCCAAAATAGCTGGATTATACAGGGATCAGATGGTAGGGGTGAGGGGAGAAGCAGAAATCCAGCCCCCTGGAGGGAGCAGTTTAGGGTAACTGGTGGGATCAAAAGTGCTGGGAGGAGCCACAAGTACTGAGTGATGCTGGGAGGGCTGGCCAGAGTCCTCTTTGATGTATTAATAGGCACCTCAGTTAGACATATGTCCTGGGTTTCCAAGACCTAACATTCCAGCCTTTTGTTGTTGATAAAAGGACAATGTAAACTCTTATATAACTTCTTCCTGCTTAAACTGGGGTATCTTGGGGTCCAGGAAGGCTGGTATGTTATACAAAGCCAGCAAAGGGGAGAGGAATGTAGGCTGGGGGACATTTGCTTTGCTCACTGCCCAGATTCTGTGGGACTACATGAGGCTAGTGAAGTGTAGGCTGCTTTAGAGCCATCTGGGATGTAGGTGCCAAGGAACACCAGGGCTGGCCCATTGCAGGCAGTTTTGGAGCTATCTGCAGTTGATTGGAAATCTGTTGGGACAGAATCAAACTAGAAGGTAAGTTTAGTTTAGGAGAAAATTTTTGTCTTGATTTGACAAATTTTTGAAACTTCCAGTGTCTTGCTATATTAATAACCACTTTAGCCATTTCTTTTCTGTTTCTGAAACACATGTACTCTCCTCTCTTTCCTTTTTCTTCCTGGTATATTTGTGAAAACTCATGAAAAGGAGGACTATGGAGACCTGATACAGACGTCAGTGATAGTTGATTTTTAAAAAAGTTGTGATTATCACATGGTACATAAATATCCTAATAATGTTAAGTGGTAGTGTCTTGCTTTTTATAGCCTGAACTGTCCTTAATCTCCTAGACTAGCCTTGACCTACAACATGTTGACATTTCATCATTCTATTACTTGGGAGGCTGAGGCAGGAGACTTGTCATTTTGGGACTGGCCTATAAGCTGGGGAGTACCATTCTTTTAGAGGTGGCTCAGAGGTTAAGAGGATGTGCTGCTCTTGCAGGTAATATGGGTTTAGTTCCCAGCACCCACATGGTAGCCCATAACCACCTATAGTTCAGTTCCTAGGATCCAGTGCCAGTTTTTGGCCTCTGTTGGTAGCTTTCACATGGTGCTCAGTAACTGCAGGTGTA